CCCCCCCCCCCCCTTTCTTCAAGCAGGCAGCCTTCTTTCTTCATCTTTCTCTCTTGTTATCAAGCATGTCTCCCAACTTATATGTTCTTCCAATAAACTCTGTTTCAGAAAACGATAATGAGAGAGAAACACATAATCAAATAGAGAAAAACACACACAAACTCATCATCGATGGCACTAGAGCACACATCATCCAAATCATTCTACAACGTAACACTTGAACAAAGAAAAACCTATAAGAAGTGTGATGAAAGAACTTTCTGGGCAGTTTCACATAAGTTCAAAATCTGTGCAAAGATTGTGGGCACAAACTAAAAAATAAATCAAAGAAGGAAAAAACAGTGAGTGTCGTGGGCAGGATGAAAGGGAAGTCCAATGATGGGAGGGAGGGTCTGACTCCTACAGTTGAGCAGGCGGACCTCGAAGGAGTGGGAAGTCGAATGATGTGAGTTTTTAATAAAAATGGAAGTGTTTTGATGAAAGAGATAAAAAATGAAAGAGGAAAGATTTTGGTAAACGGAGAGAGTAGTTATTAGAGAGTATGCCACGTTGAAAAAGTAGTGAAAAGAAAATAAATGCTACTCCCTCCGTCCCAAAAAACCTTTTTTCTTTCTTTTTTCATCCGTCCCAAAAAACACTTCTCATTTCTATTAAAAAGTCACTTTTACCCCATACTTTTTCATACCTTACCTATCACATCATACCTTTTTACTAATAATCTATCCATCAAATCATACTTTTTGAAAATTCAATACCAAAATACACTCCCTTTAAATCCCTCTCCAAAACCAAAACTCTCATGTTTTCTGGGACAGTGGGAGTATATAAGTTCTTGAGTTCAACTAAGTAATCGATTGAATTTAACCTTTTAATGTGGTTTAATTCAAGTCTTTTAAGATCCAGTCCTGTGATCTCTATCCCATTCTAAATTCTATCCGTAATACTTGCACTTAATTTAATTTGTAGCACTCTGATTTCCAATTAGCTACGTACGTAGTAGTACTCCAATAATCTCATACTCGAAACCTGTAACGTTTAGTACTTCGTATTAAAATTGGGATGAAATAAATAATATTGAAGAAGAGTTATTCGCATAAATGATTTCATAGAGATATTGTTCTAAACAAAACATAAATAGAGATATTACTCCGTAGTAGTCATCAGTCAAAGTATTCTATTGAAGGTCATGAAAAGTCTAATTAAAGCTTTGAATGAATTCAAGGCAATGAAAATCAATTTGTACAAATATTTGAGGAGAGATTCGATCACAATCAGCTACACGCCATAAAAAAAATGCTACTGAAAGTCATCAAAGAGTTGCTGTAGTGTAGTGGTTCTCACGTTAGTCTTACACACTAAAGGTCCCCAGTTCGATCCTGGGCAGCAACATTCTATTTTTTGTTTTTATTATTCTGTTTATTCATCAGTAAAACATTTTGTAATAACAGATCTTTTTTTTTGCACTATTAACTTATTACTCCAATGTACTAATTTGCCAATGAAGAAGTTGTTGATTCATTGCTAAAAGAATGTATAGCTAGCACTCAGATTGTCAAAATATACTCTATCTGAATATTGTAGCTACAAGTGAGATTTAATACATCCAAACATTTGCATGAATTGTGTGACACATGTTATTGTTACATAGAGAAATCACAGGCAGCAACAACATGTCAAGTGTCGTCAACCGCCATAGTTAGCAAACGTATGTATTCGGCCATATAACAACAGAGCTGATACCGAGAGCAACAAGATGAGAATCGCCATGAACGCGCGTCTTCTGCTCTTACGATGACGGTTCCTCTCGTGCTCCACAACTGCAATCTCCCCGTTTACGGGAGAGGATGATGACAACAACTCATTTCCAGTTTCTACGTGGAGGGCATTATCGTCCACGTCTTCCACCTTTTTTTGGGTTAAACAGATGAAATAAACCACGAATGAACCAAACACTTCAACGTAACGGTTGTAGCCTCGGGAAAGGTTTTATACTTATAAAAAAAATTATATTACCTGGGTGCTCCTCAGAGAGGATTCTACGGGCACCTCCTGAGGATTTTCTTGGACGACGAAATTCTCTGTAAAGGGTAATTGTTCTTTATTTTCTGAACTTCTGTTCATCTGTAACCTCTTGGTCAACAATTTGTTTTCCTTTGTCAAACAGCATAACTGCAGCAATTTATATATACGTTGATTTGTGCTCTTATATTTGTTTGATGTGTGATGGCTTACACTCGTAATGAAATAAAGTGATGACTAGAAATTAAAGGCGAACCTGTTTTTGTACCCGTTCTCGTTCGACTGCTAGTTCCATTACCAACTCCATTATGAACTTTGTCTTAACGTTAATGTCTTTCGCGCTCGCCATTTTCTCAGCATTGGCTTTACTCAAAGAAGCCTCCAAACTTCCCACTCTGTCCCTTAGGTTGACTATTTCAGCGTTGAGCTCTGAGTTGAGTTCAGACAATACAATGCATTGCTCCTCTGCAACTTCGGTCTTGTTTTCTGCTACGGAAACTTTTTGCTTCAGCTCGTCGATTAATGTCTCCATGTCCCAAATGGCGGAATACAACATGTTTTGCTGCTCTTGGCTCGCCTCGGAAGATGCTTTTGAATTCTGCAATTGGATTTCCAACTCTCTTACATCTTTCTCGAGTAGGTTGGCCTTTTTTTCATTGTTGTCTTTGAGGAAACTGAGTTCTTCGCTTAGCTCCAAGTTTGTCTCTTCTAACTGTAATGCTTTTGCCTCGGCACTTTCAGCCCGGCTCTCCAATTGATAAGCACCTTCTCTCAAAGATTCAATTTCACTTTCCATTTCTTTGATCTGGTCACGGGCCACTTTGACCGATGAATTCACGTGCGTCAGTTTAGACTCGGATGCGCTTAGTTTTTGCTCTAACTTCTCGATGTTTTTTCGAGCTTCGGAATTTCCAGCTTGGAGCAGCGCAACGCTTTTGTCAAGATTATGAATGGTGAGATCTTTGGCATTTGAGTTTTCCATGCAAGTTTCTAATTTGGATTGCAAATCGCGCTCTCTTTGAAGGGAAGAGTTCACGTTTAGATTCGCCATTTCGAGTCTCCCAACCATATCTTTGGAGATGCCCATTAGAACCTCAACTGTGTTTTCTGCCTCTAAAAACCTTCCCCATATTACCTCCGCGGCTTCTTCCATGTGCAACGTGACTTGTTCTCTTAGCCCAAGCTTCAGTTTCAGATCGTCTTCGTTCTGTTTCATCGCCTTTATTTTCTTCTCAAGTTCCACTTCTCTTGCTAGAGACTTCTCGAGCATTCTTAAGACACGCTTTTCTTGTGGCTTCAAATTCAACCCATGTCTCCCTGTCATGCTCAAGACATGTTAGTTTTTTGTTCAAATAATCTAAAAAAAAAAGTGTTGGAAGAATGAAAATTCTGCACTTTTAAGACTCCAACCATTAAACTCACATTCATCTTGATCAGAGAAAAGGGAGCCAACCATCAATGGCCTGTCAAGCTGCATCTTCATCTTGAGAATCCCTTCTTTCAATTGCCCGAGCGATTCTTCTGAGCTGTGGAACTCGTTCTCTTCCTCTTGAGAACAAATCTTTTGGCGGGTCTCAAGAATCAGATCGTGCACACGACTCACAAAATCATCCAGTTGTCTTAGCTCGGCCTTGAGAAGCACATTCAAGTGATGCAGTGTGAGTGCTTTCTCGACCGAATCCACAGAATCATTGTCGTCTTCATTCTCAACCGCCATTGCTTCTTCGACTTCTTCTTGTTTTGCCAGCACAATCGTGAGAAGCTGGCCAAGATTCGCCAGTTTCTCAGAAGAATATGCAATGTCCAGGTTCACTCTACTCAGCAGTTCCATTGAACTTTTTACCTCTTCCATGTCCTTACTAGGCTCTAATCGAAGGACATTCATTCACTCCTTTTGTCCCATAAAGCACACCCCTTTTTTCGACAAAGATCGAGGTTTTTAATGTCAGTACACTACAATTATTGGAAATATATGCAAAATTTATACACAATACACATATATGACCCAAATCTATTCTATTACAGCTAGCAATGAAGCAATATGTCAAGTAACCAGCTCAATCAAAAGTTCAAGCTCGTGGTTTAAGATTTTACTCCGGTTATATTCTAAGTTCTAACACAACAAAACTTGATCTCCACAAATTCACACAAATCAGATGTGAATTTGTGAGCTGCCCAAAATCTTTGTCAAAGAACTGGCTCAAGGACAAGTTCAAGTTTGTCCTAACAATCATCAAACAACACTACACTGAACAATCTTTATTATAAGTGGAATGATTCATAAAGAAGAACTTTTTTATGAATCATCAAAAAAGCTTCATGATTGTTCATATATATGGCTATATGCTCAGTCACTTCCAGAACAAATGGGTATTGGAGAAAATCTGGAACAAGAATTCAAAGAGCTTAGCTGAGAAGTGGAAATCCAGTACACCACATTACTAGTAATGCCTTAGAATCAAGACCCAACAAAGATTAACTACCAGTGGGAAAAGAAGAAGAAGAAGAAGAAGAAGAAGAAGAAAGAGCAGAATTAAGAAGAGATACCTGGGAGGAAATTGGCCAATTGGGTACCCTTTTTGCAGAAAATGTGGATTTGGAGAAGAAATGAAATGTAAAGATTGAATGGGAAGAGTATTGGTCATTGCCACTCATTGAAGAGGGAGTGGGGTGTAGCTGAGAGTGAAAGGGAAAGAGTGGGTGGAGGAGATGAGTTTCTGTGGGAACTCTTGTCGGTAGTCCACTAGGACTTTTACATTGTGCTTCATAAATGTCCCTCTTTTTTATCTAGATGATTTTGATTAGTTCACTTTTGAACTTTTTCCAAACAAATTAGATAAAATTTTAAGCTTTAATTAAATAAAATTTATAATATATATTAATTTAAAAATGATTTTGATAAATAAATTTTGTTGAGAAGTTTTAAAAATTTTATTTCATTGTATTAATGTATATTACAAATTGAGAGTAATTGAAGCTCAAAATTTATAAAATTCAACATGAAGAAGTCAAAGCGGATAAAAAAATATTGAGACACAAGTAGTACAATATACGGAGTATATTTTTTATATGTGGAGAAAATGAAAATTTGAGTTGTTAGAATTTGTTTCGAAAAAATAAACAATTGTGGATCACACATTTCTTTTTACTTTTCTAAAAAAAGGCGTAAGCACTATATTGTCCTTCCAATGACTTTTGTTTGTGTATACTTTTTCACAGTCTATTTGATAAAATAAGTTTGTTTCGTAGAATTTTTTATTTGATGTAATTCTTAAAATATAATTTGTGCTTTTTTTATTTTCTTACCAATCTGTAAATACTCACTCAAAAAATATAATTTGTACTTGTCGTAGCCCAAGTCGGTGATTAGGGGGAGGGCTGGGGGTTAGGGTAAGAATCGTCAATTTTACAAATGCATCACCGTAGGTGCCTAGGTCATGATATGAACTGCGATTTGAGGGTCAACGGAACCATTTTGTATTTTAATTTTAGTTTTTAATGATTGTGAGTTTTATTCTTTTTTTCTATAGTCATTTTAAATAAACTAATTATTAAAATACTCTCTCCATTCCGTAAAAGAGTTCTATTTTTAACTTTAGAAAAATTTGAGGAATGAATATTCTCTAGTTAACTTTACAGTGTATAAAAGTAGAGTGTCATAGTTAGATTAATAATGTATGAGTAATACTAGAGATACACATATGGTGTCCCATTATCATAGGAAAAACTCTTGAGTAAAAAATTATGAAAATACAAAAATAGGAGTCATATGTCTTTTAAGACAAAAATAGGAGTCCACACTGTCATTGTTACACTGTCACATTCACCACATTGTCATATTGTAACTACTACACTATCTTCGCCACACTTCCATCTGTCGCAACCGTTCACCAGAGTACCGTCGTGGATCACCAATGGTTGACTGATCACACTCATATATTACACCGTAATCACTTTTTTACACACTGCCAACGCGTACTCTTACGACACACTACCATTACACTCTTATTTTGGTCTTAAAAAATCTATGACTCCTATTTTGGTATTTTCATACTCCGTATTTTTTACTCTTATCTAGAGAGATTTCTTTTTATCATACCCATTCTTCTCACCAATCATTCCTTATCCATTCTCTAAGAGCTTTTATAATGATGAGGAATCTCGTCTCGCCTCATTGCTTGCCACATCAATAGTTCACTAATTTTCAACCCCGCCGCAAAACACCTGCAATGCCATCGTCCTCTCACCCCCGCCTCTTCATTTCTTTTATTTTATTCATCATTTTTGATTCAAAATTTTTACAAAAATACAAAATACATATGTATATTTAAAATAAAAAATACTCTTGTTACGCCGCAATTAACAACATATTCACAAGCTCATCATTCGTTGAAAGAAGAGCCATCTTTTGGAGTGAAATAATAAAGTTGAAAATAAATAGAAAAAAATAGTGAACTGAGGGAGATGAGACATGGGTTTCCTGAAGTCCAACTCAAAGAGACATTCAAAATTTGTTCGTCGCCCATGAAGCGAGACATGAGTTTCCTTGTACGCTTGGTAGTATTAATTGCATACACTGGTCATGGCATAATTGTCCGCATAGCATGGTGAAATCACACGAGGGGTCACGAACATCCCGCAATCATTCTAAAAGTTGTTGTCTCGCAAGATCTTTGGATTTGGCATGCTTTCTTAAGTGTCGCAGGTTCAAACAACAGTCTAAGCATTATCGATCAATCTGGCCTTTTCAACGAAATCAATCAGAGTACTAGACCTGATAATTCACAATTTTGAGGGTGGAATACAAACATGGATATTATCTTGCAGACGATTTGGCTATCGTAAAAACCATACGGTATTCTTTTGGATGAGAAGAAAAAAATATGTGTATACTATAAACTTTTAAATCTCCTTTTCTTATTAAAAACAATAAAAAAGTAGATTAATGATAAAATAGAAAAATGTTACCGAGGTTTATCTTTAGAAAATATATTAAAAACGAAATTAAAAGAATATTTTCAAACGTGCCAAAAAAAAGTGTGATATTTTGAGATGAAGGTAGTATGAAAAGGGAGTACTTATTGTTAACTTTGTTGCACCGCCCAAAAAATTGTCCAATTTCATCCACTCCGGATTTCTATGTAAAAACAGCATAGCAGCATCCATGTCAAGCTCCAAAAATGGCGAAGGAGTCCATGTATTGGTCTTCCCCTACCCAGCCCAAGGCCACATCCTCCCACTTCTCGACTTGACCCACCACCTCGCCGCTTCACCGTCACCGTCCTCGTCACCCCCAAAAACCTCCCGATCCTCGATCCGGACTCTGGTTCTCCCTTTTCCGGCCGGCCACCCCCTCCTCCCCCCCGGCGTCGAGAATGTCAGGGACGTCGGGAACTGGGGCAACGCCCCCATCATGAGCTCCCTCTCCGATCTCCGCCGCCCGATCGTCGATTGGTTCGCCTCCCATCCCGACCCTCCGGCGGCGATCATCCACGACGTGTTCCTGGGCTGGGTCGAGGAGATGGCCGGAGAAATCGGAGTTCCGGGGATCTGCTTTTACTGCCATAGCGCGTTCTTGGGCTGCGTTTTTGAGTATGGGTGGAGGAATATGGAGAAGGTCAAGTCTTTGGAGGTGGTTGACTTTGAACAGATGCCAAAGTGTCCCACTCTCCCAAGGGAACATCTCCCCCTTCAATCATGAAAAACTACAAGGAAGGTGACCCTCATTGGGAGGGCATAAGGAGGGGCATGATTGGGAATTGCAAAAGTTGGGGGGTTGTTGTAACCACATTTCATGCATTGGAAGGGGTGTTTTTGGAAATCTTGAAGAAGATTAATTGCTTTGTTTTGGAGAAGGCAAGAGTGAAGGAATTCAGAAATGAAGCACTCACAACGGTTAAAACAGAGGAAGGGTCAATTGAATGTTCTGAAGAACTTGTCAAGCAACTAGCCCAGCTTCAAGCATTATAACTTATTGTGGTCATCGTTATGTTGGCTTGTTATTTGTTATCTAGTCTTGAAAAAGACTTCTTTATATAGCTCTGTGCTTTTTGTTTGCCAGAGCTGAGAGTCTCTTAAGGAGAGTCTCTCTTTTTTTTACGGGGGCAAGGATAAGGCCTGCATACATGCCCCCTCCTCAGACCCAACATGTATGGGATTCTATTGGGTTCCTTTTGTTGTTGTTGTTGTGCCCATGTTTGATTCCTATGTATCGTTTTGTACGTTAATTGCTGAAATGTGAACCAGAGCTTACTCGATTCAACTTACTCTGTAACTTATTTCTTATTCTTATTGGAATCACATCAGATAAGATCAAATAAAAAACAATTTTAAATATAACTATAATTTAATCAGATCAGAATTCATTTCAATTAGATCATAACAAATCAAATCAAGTGAAAAGAACAAGCACTTGGTTTCATGATATTCGGATGTGAGAATAACCATTGGCGGATGGATGTGGTGGAGGCACCATCCCCCCCTCATCCGTGTTAGGGATGGGCGGGCTCCCCACCCTGGTCAACCCGCCTCGTTCTAGCCTCACTTCTTCCTTTTTTGTCCAGCCGTGAAGCCAGAGATACGCACCCCCCTCTTTTCATCCCTCGCATCTAGGAATATCAATTTCTACCTGACCATATAGATAATCGAACCATCTAACCCAATTTAATGGATAAAAACCGAATATAAAATGATGATGGACGAATGATAGATGGACTAACAATTGATCAAGTCTGACGTGCTGAAGATTTTTTCACCCGTCACTCAATCCATTCGTATTCACTTTAAGAAAGATTAAAATTGGAAAAAATATTAGTCTTGTTAAGCACATAAGTTTGTTCCACTTTCCAATGTACCAAATTATAAAAAAATTATTTGTTAAAGTGTATGATTTCATCACAAATATCATTAATCTCTTATTTTGAATGAAATTTTCTATGTAATTTTCATTGCTTTTCATTTCATTAATGATTAAAAAACTATTTAGTCCAAATCAAAGTGTTTTTAGAGAAATAAAAAGTATAAGCGAGAGTATTTTGTGAAATAGAGAGAGTATTCATTATTACTATTACACTCATACAAACTTCTAAGGAGAAAAATGAAAATTATAAATATTTTTAATCAAAGAAACATATTTTTATTATTGCTCGTCGCACCCTAATATTAATTTTTAAACAATAATAATAACATTATAACATAAAACACATCACATACATTAAGCGTTCTTTAATTTATTAGTATATTCATCATAATTATTATATCAAACATACAATATATTAATATTTTATTTTATTTTAAAACTACTTTTAATTAATTAAGTACTGTGTATTATTTTGACCGGGGAGCCCAAAGTCCACAGGTACATGTTCGAGCGGGTTTCAATAGTCAGGCTTGTTATGTGGATCAAGTATAGTTCTAAAAAATTCTCGTAATTTAGTATCTGAGCTTGATCTGAAATTTAACTTAGTCCTAATTTGATCAGGTCTATTTGAGTATGGTTGATTCTAATTTCTAATTTAGTCGAGTGCAAATTATTTTTTTGAAATATTAAGGCTTCATTCGGTACACATAATTCAAACTATCCAATTAGAATTGGGGACAACAATTTTAATTATATTACTCCATCCGTCCTATAATGTTCTTCCCGGTTCATTTTACGAGGTTTGACCGACTTTATTTTCAATTCAATTTATTTGATTATAGGTGTAAAATTAAAAAAATAAAATTTATATATTTAAAAACTACATCAAAAGTTCTACAAAACAAGTGGTGACAAGACTATATTATTTTATCAAATACCTAATGAAAATAGGTAAAGAAAGTGATTAAAGTTTGACCGAATAAAAAGTGAGTGGAAAGAACATTTTAGGACGGAGGGAGTATTTGGTTGCACAAAAATACGTAGATTTGAAATTGGTAGTGCCAAAAATAAATTAAAAATTGGAGAATTTAATTCTATCCAAATCTATTCTACAGAATTTAAATTTCAAATTCAATTTTAATTCTGTCAATTTCGTGTACCAAACTGACTCTAATACTCAATGGGAAGAATGTTTTTTGAACTATGAAATCTAAACAGACAATATGCTATTGGAGTATTGGTAAAGGTGTATTTAAAATTGGTTGAATCATATGAGGAAACTGATTGGCCTCACACAAAAACAGTAACACACCATTTCTGTTTTCCATTACCAAACAGAAAATACAGAGCGAAGCTCAAGCAGCCATCCTTACTGGTGATCTCAATTCGGTAATTACAATTCTCCCCCAAAAAAATCTTTTTTTTCCTTTCTGATATGCGCTTAATCTCTTCAGAAAATCTTTTGATCTTTTTTGCTTTTCTCCATTTTTACGGGACCTCAATTGCTTCAATAGATCTCTCAATTTCTATGCTGTATTTCGTGTTTTTCCAGTTTATAATTGTTGGGTTCTTCTCAATTTCTTGAAATTATGCAGGCTGTTTTTTAAAAAAATTTGGGGAATTAATATGAAAACTGTGAAGGGTCTTCATGAAGAGGAAGACGATGAGGAATTCGGTTATAAGAAAGATGCTTCGAACTCAAATAGTATAAGTATTCCAAGAGGTAATTTTTTTCCCTTTAACTTCATTTTTCATCTTACCTGATGCTGAATTTTCAAAGTTCATGTGCAGAAATTAGAATTAGGCATCTGAAATGTGACCTAAAATTTTTTAGGGAGATTGTTTAGTGCATTTACATTAGCTTGCAATAATGTAAAACTTAAAGCCTATAACACTGTAATACTTTAATATTTGAATCAAGAAACTATGTTTTGCAGCCACAAATTCAAGAAAAGAAATTGACAATTTAAAGAAACACGTAGCCAACAATGTTGAAGTGAATATGGAACATTCACTAGATATTCCGTCTAACATTAACGATGGTTTATAACTATGTGCACTTTCCTTTGGAGCCCTAAAATTTTGGGACGTGATGATGTTCTTTTATGGTGGAATAGATGGAAAGAGTTGTGATAAGGCTAATGCAATACGGTCTAAACATTCTGTAACGGAGCAACGTAGGAGGATTAAGATCAATGAGAGGTATATTCTAATACTTTGTATGAAATTAGAATGTTTTCTGGGTATGTTTTGTCGCGAATTCTATTGGTTATAAGAACGCTACTATAGTACATTAACAAAAACAAAAACAAAGCTAGTTAACATTAACAACAAAAAACCTAGTAAAATCCCACAAAACGTAGGGTGTGGGAAGGGTGCGTAGACCTTATCACTGCTTGGTAGTAGAGAGACTATTTCCAAGAGACCTCATACCGCATTACATTAATTTTGAGATTTTGGCCTGCCATCTAGAGAGACTGAAAATAGGGGAAACTACCTGCGAACTTAGCTTGAAAATAGGGGAAGCTCTCAACATTTTTTTTCTTAAATTTGCTCTGTAGGAGTAGGGGAAGCCATCACTAACTCTTTGAGAATAAGGTAAACCATGTATGAACTTAGCTTCTTGAAAATAGAGGGCAGCATGTCACGGGGCCAGTTATTCCAATCAAGGCACACCATTTACCCGACCCTGGATCCCACTCACTACAGTTTAGACTGTAGTCTCTAGACTCTAGTTATGAGGCTCTAACGAGTTTATTGCACCAACACCCCTCGTGGTTTGGTAAATGTGCACCGTTATCCCCTATGGTTTCAAAACTTACGTCATTGCCTCTCATGGTTCTAATTTTGCTACCCCAATGCTCCTCTAGACTAAAATATCCTTCAAACATTAGGTGGATAGCTCTGCTGCCCCCTATGGTTTTGGAAATGTGCACCAACGCCCCCTTTTTTTCTTTATTATTTTCTTTTTTCTACTATTTTTTTCATAAATGTTTTTTAATTTCTTTTTTAAATTTTTTAATAATGTTTTAATAATAATTTTTTTTTTCGATGTAAAAAGAATTAATGTCACTTCATTTCTCTCAATTTAAACATTTTCATTTTTTGTCCAAAAGAGGTCTTTATTGGCTCATTTTCATGATACAAAAATCAATGAAACATTCTCTTTTTACACTAAAGCTCATTTCTCATTTTCTGATTTCTTTATTTATTTTTTCTCCCTTTTTGATTTTTTTCAAATTAATTTTTTATCGTTTCTTTTATTTTAACCAAAATCAAAATAAAATAAAAAAGAATAAAAAAGAAAATAAAGAAAATGAAAAGTATACGGAAAAATACTTTTATACAATAGAGAAAATTAAATCATGAATGAAATCTCTTGTTTGTCGGTCCAAAAAATGTTATTAATATATGATTAACTATATATTAAAAAGACCTTACTCAGTTTTCTTTTGGTCCCAATATATTTAAAAAAAACTTCTTTAGAACAACAACAACAACCCAGTTCTGTCCCACGAGAGTAGGGTCTTGGGAGGGTGTGTGTATGCAGACCTTGCCCCTACTAGAAGAAAAATAAAAATATTTAATTTGACAAATGAAGTATGTATTAATTTTTTTATTTCAAACACAAACATTTTTTACTTTTTAAAACTTTTTTTAAAAATAGAGTTTTGAAAAACAACTTTTCATTATTTCAAACACAAACATTTTTTGAAAAAATTCACATCAATACTTCCAAAATTGCATGAGTTTATATAAATACTGTGAGATTCAATAATTGACATCAATGTTTTCAAAATTTTTCTATATTCACATATATCAATTCTCGAAGCAACGATGTGAATATAGGAAAAATTTGGGAGCATTAGTGTCATTTAACGAGTCTTAGAGTATTTATATAAACTCGTGCAATTCTGGGAGTATTGGTGTGAATTTTTCCCTTTTTCTTCTCTTTATGAAAAAAAAAGAAAATAAAAAAATAGAAACATTTAAGAAAAAGGAAAGGGGTGTTGGTTTCCATTTCCAAAACCATAGGAGGCTGCAGAGCTATTCACCTATTTGAAATATATTTTAGTCTAGAGGGGCATTGACATAGCAATATCAGAACCATGAGGGGCAACAACGTAAGTTTTGAAACCATGGGGGTAACGGTGCAAATTTACCAAACCACAGGGGGTATTGGTGTAATAAACTCCAGCATTTAGACTCTATTGACCAGACCCCAAGTTTCACACTCTTACCAATTAAAATTAATGCAAAAAGAGCAGACCCTTAGACAGTCTTTAAGTGCAACCACATATTGGTAAGTTGCTTATACTCTAATGAGTATGATCAAGAAAATGAAATTCTGAAATTATGTGGTACTGCAACCGTATTACAACTAAGAAAGCCTTTGTCATTTAGATGTGCATGTTTGCATAATCCAGAAAAAGGAAACAGCGTAGGAACTCAGGCGCTACCAACTCTTCTAAAACCAATTGGTGTTAGAAGAAGTGCATATCCTAGTCTTATAGTACATTCAACAAACACAAACGCCCACGGCATTCGATTGTGACTTGGCCCACATAGCCTCCGCCACGGGACAGTTGATGCACACATGGCCCACAACCAGGACAATTGATTTAAACACCAATTTCTTCAAGCTGTTGGAAATGTTGTTTTAAAATAATTCTTTTGGGTTCCAATCCAGATTTCAGATATTGAGAGATCTGGTACCTAACACGGATCAAAAGCGAGATACTGCATCATTTCTGTTGGAGGTACACGACTATCCTTGAATAACCAATACCCAATACATTACTTTCCATTCACTCTCAACCTTGCATTCAGATTCTGCTCTTATTCTTCATTTCTTCTCTCTCTGCAGGTGATTCAGTATGTACAGTATTTACAGGAGAAAGTACAAAAGTATGAAGGACCATATCAAGCTTGGGGTTCTGAACCAACAAAACTAATGCCTTGGGTCAGCTACATTTGCCTTTTGAACTGTCTATTTACAACATAGCCTTGTTAGGCTGTGATGGCTATTAATTCTGCTCTTCCTAATTCATTTCGTTACTGACTCTATGTAGTGAAAAAAAGTTTGATTTGCTTGCTTGTTTCAATAAAGTATGTTAAAGATTGCTAATTTGTGGGATCGTACCTTGACATAATTTAAATGCTGTATCGTGATGAAACTTAATCTCTCTCCCTCTCTCTTGTGGTGGAGGGAGTATTAGTTTCACTCCTAATTAACTTAGCTTTTTTTGTCAAACATAGCTTAAGTTATGCCTATGCTTGGAACCCACTAACAACAACAACAACCGGTATATTCCCAACTCAGTCTGGGAGGTTTTCTGCATTTACTACCTAAAACTTCATTGAAAAAAAGAAGCAAAGAAAGTTTAATGTGCCATTTTCGTTTGATGCATTAATTACATAGAGCTAAAGCAGTGCCAACTATGACTCTTTTAGCTCTATTGGGAATGGACACAGTGCATGGAACCCTATGAACCCACTATAAAGATATTATGTGTGTGAACTGTAAAATTTTCAGTTTTGTTGTACCGTCCATTAAACACTTTCCTCAACTGTTTAGCTGCATCAGAACATGTTTTTAATTTTTTTTCCTTCCAAGATTTTAAAAGTACCTCTCTTGTTCTATGGCTATCATTTCTATTCCTTCTATTAAACATCATTTCATTTTGTGATTGAGAACCATTCTGTTAAAATCTGTTCATTATGGGCTCAGAGAAACAGTCATTGGCAATTGCAGAATTTTGCTGGTTCCCCCCCACAGGCTGTGAAGAACAGTCCGGCATACGCTGGGAGGTTTGACGAGAATCATGGCGCAGTCCCTTCAACAGCTATGCAACCAACTATTCAGCAGAATCGAGTTGAATCTTCTCCTGCCTTCAATGCAAGAGAACGTAAGGAGATAGCTACTAAGTTAGTTTCAGCTCCCATTCATCTGCCACCCTCTGATGCCCACTCAAGTGAATGCCCCAACAATTTAGATGCTCATAGTCAAGATGAGGAGCTGCCAGCTATAGAGGGTGGCACGATTAGTTTTTCAAGCGTTTACTCCAATGGGTAAGTAGTAATTGGTTTACGGAGTACTATTTAAAGTCAAAAAAAGCTAGAATAACCCCAAAATTTGCCACCACCATTCACACACATTGGTGCTGCACCGACAGTCATTGTCTGTGCGTGTATGTGCAAACAAAACATGGGGTCAATGGTGGTGTCAAAATTTTGGGATTACCCTAGCACAACTTATTTCAAGTTTACCAACTTATTTTCAAGTTTACCAACTTATTCCTCTGTTCATAATTATATACGCGTCGTAATTTGATAATTAAATTAACCATATAATGATCTCACATTTTTTGTATGCAAAAGTTATTACCATTATTCCCTTTTCTAATAATTTTTTTAAAACTTATCAGATTGCTGAATTCTTTGGGACAAGCATTGCAAAGTACTGGTGTAGACCTTTCACATGCCACCATCTCGATGCAGATAAATCTTGGAAAACGGGCAAATAGAGGATTAAACTCATCAGTAATGGTTTCTAAGGTATGCAGTATACCGTTCTCTCTTTTGTTTATTCAATTGTTTTTTATTTATTGATCATTTGGAGAGGAGATGCCTCCCAACACAAGGGCTCAATATGCACATAGAAGGTGAAACCACTTACTACCTCCGTCCCTGAATGTGTGTCTAGTTTTGACTTTTTGCAGTCAACCATTTTCGAACTTTGACCTATAATTAACTAAAATTTATAAAGTATATTGATGAGATAAAATAATATTTCAAAAATACTATATAAAACAAATCTAAGAATATTGTTTTTGTATCAATATCTAATGTCAATTTTATTAAATTAGTGGTCAAAGTTTGTCAATTTTGACTGCGAAAAGTCAAAACTAAACAAATACTCAGAAACGCAGGTAGTATTTTTTTGTTTCTTTCTTCTTTAAAATCTTATTGAGAACTCCTTTTTGACAGGATAGTAGTGAGAAACCCACACCCTTTGCGAACCAAGTAGTTGGATTTTTTCAGGACACAAACACGGGCGATGATTTTGATCAAGCTCAGAAAAGGCTAAGGATTTAGGTACACCTCGCAGCCGGTTGTGCATATGGTTGTTGTTGTTCATGTCCATTGTTGTCATGTCTTTTAACTCATTTTGTGTTTGCTCCCCATTATTGTTTTTTTATGTGGGGGAGGAGCTCATATGCCTTGTTTGGCAACAATATTTAACTTGAAAACGCCAAAGCTAAACGTTGAATTGTTGCCAAACGGGAAGATTGTGCTCGTGTTCATTAAGTACAAACCTTAGTTCTCTCAAGTATAACCGAATCACCAACTCTTCGGGTGAAGAAAAGTGTATTATTCATAATACCGCCGTGCGTTTTGGGATTTGCCCAAAACGTAACAGAGTTGGAATTATACATGGGTTTTTGTTCTATCATAGACTCATGGTTCATGAATCAGAAGTGTCATTTCACACTCAAATGCAAATGATCAAATTGACATTAGACCCAACCATTACCATAATTGAATTACAGAGGGGAAAAAAGGCAACTAAATATGGTAATGGTCCATTCAATGGTGTCCACAAGTCTTAACCCATTCCCATTTCTTTGTTTGGTGATTACCAACTTTTCAAGTAATGTGGAAAATAAGTTTTAGGGGTGCAAATGGTCACTCATAACCCAACCTTGCATCTTGATTGAGTTACCAAAAATAAAAAGTTAGACCTTACCCAAACAGAACTCTGTTTTCTTTTCAAAAAAATACAAAGTGAAATTCACAACGTTCAACATAGGAAACATTCCACTTTTGGAAGTAAAATTCCCTAAAATGATAGTCAAGTCATTTGATAATATTTATAAACGGTGAGTTTTGTAAATAAATTGGTCAAAATGGAGAAATAAAAAAAACTAGCTTAAAATCAAATAGGTTAGACTTCCTTACTTTTTTGGCTTATGAATAGCATGTAAATTTTATAGAGAAACATGTTATTAAGTGACTTATAAATTAAAAATTGCTTATAAGCAGTTTTGACCAGTTTATAAGTACAGATAAACACCTATTTGTTTGTCCATTTTGCCAGATAAGTAATCAAAATGACCTAAAAGTGGCAAAAATGTAGTCAAATACTGCGTGCTATCAGGTCAAGTTTACCCAACTTAGGTCATGTTTTCTTCAACTTATTCTTAATACTTATTATTTTTTTCTTATTGGAATCAGTTCAGATTAGATCAGATCAGAACTTATTATTATCAGATTAGAATTATTCAGATCAGGTGTAAAGAACATGGTCTTGGTCCGGGCTCAGTGATAAATATTTCCACTTTTAATTCGGATACTTTAAGGACGGGCTCGGATTGGATTGTCTTCCCTACAAAATGACGTGTTAGTCGCGGAACCGAAACCCAAACGTTTTCTTCAATAAACATTGCAAACACAATGAAATGAACTCAATCCATACACAATAGTGCACCCTTCTTCTGCAGAACAAAACAGAACTGTATGACATGAAATGGTTTTACAAGCCTCATATCCGTACCCATACCTACAAGAAGAAGCCTCTGTTCAACCACATTTCTAATTCCAAATCCATGCTTTAGAATGAACCAAACACACCCTAATGGAAATAAACAATCTATTATTTCCACACACACACACACACATATATATATACCTTTAATGCCCTTACCAATGTAATACTATATGATATGAACTTCAAAATGACTATATGAACAAATGAAATATTAAAGAAATGGAAAGGATTTTCAGAATCTACAGCAAAGAAGACGACGCCACCGTCCCCCGTGCTTCCAAAACCTGTTGTATGATTTCCTCATTCTCACCGGACTGCTAATCCACTCTGGTTGTAATCTGCAACCCAACCAAAAAAAAGTAACTTTTGAGGATTCGAGAAACACAAATGTATCAGTGTTAGAGTATACAACATATCGTGGACGACAAAGAAAAAAAACTTACACCGGGAAGGCAAAGGATCTGGCACTGGTGGTGCTGCTATCAGAGCGGAGAGAAGTGCTCCCAGAATATGGGACCGAGGCCGGGTGAGAAGAACCTGCGAAACCAAGTGCAGAGAAACTAGCCTCGCCTTCTGCAAAATGGTCTTGCAGGCTGAGAATTGAACGGTTCGGTTTGGTTTTGTTGTCCTCCCCATTGCACGATTCGTCTCTTGGCACTGCATTTTGGCCCTCCAAGATTTTGTCTTCGCGCGGTTTTCGGTCTATAAGCCCATCATCACCGAAATGTTCTTTTCCCGTTTCTGCAACTTCGACGACACAAAGATCTGTGATGGGATTATGACACTTACTTTCCTCTTTGCCATCCAAAGGAGTGGCCTTTTCATCAGATGCTGATAATAACAATGCAACTTCTTCATCTGGTTTTCGGGCAACGACATGAAATGCTTCTTTTTTACCATCATCATCATCATCATCCCTAGGAGGAGAAACATGTAATTTGTTTTCGATGCTCGCGAAAGAATGGTCTGAAAGTGGATCATCTTGTTGAAGTTGTGGAAGAGCCTTTTGGAATTCGCCTCTGTCGTTTTTCGACTCCGAGACAATCCCGTTCGAGCCAAACACGCCCTTTTTGCCCATAGACAGATCTTCCTCATTGACCCCATTGACACATAGAATTTCAGGCTGATTTTCTTTCATGCTTGACAGATTTACCATGGAAAAGGGTAGAAAATTTAGAACTTGCAAATCATATATAGTCCCAAGTAGTACTAAAAGAATCATAGATTTTCATGTAACTGTTTACATTAAAATATTGAATTCAATATATCCTTTGTCCAAGCATCAAAAGTCAAAAAACCCTTGTTGTTTTTGACATGTTTTTCAAAGAATTGGCATTCCATATAATTAATTGGCTTCCCTCTTCCATTTCTTTGGGCATTTGGGATGTCTTAAGATTTTGGGCATAACTTCACTTTACTTTTATCTCAAGGCAACAAGAAACCAAATAAAATAAAATAAAATAAAATCCAAATGAAAAAAAAACTATAAAAGAAATTCTAGTGAAAGACATATGTGCTACTTCTCAAGTCACATGTACTCAACATTGAGATCCAACTTCATCCCATTCAATCAGGGGCATATCCGGGAATTCCATGCATTGCCCCTGTATATTTTTTTTTACAAAAAAAAAATTGCTACATGAAAGAACCATTCAAGTAATTAAAATGAAAAAAAATCCAATTAAACACCTCAAAATCTCTAAATTTTTTTTTGTTTTAAAAACACAATTTTAAAAGAAAGAAGATCAAGTAATGTGCTTTTATCTCATATGAAACAATAATTTTCCTTTCCAATAAAAATAAAGAAGAATAGAAAATGAACACAAATACTTAAAAAGAGAAAAGAATCTCAAAATCCAACAGTCCCAAATTACAGGGGCATGGACAAAACAGACCACTAGAAAGAACACACACAAACAAACAACATACTATGAAGGTTTGTGTACCTTTAATCTTTGTTGCACGTATTCTTCAAATAAGTGCCACTCTCTGTCCTAAAAATGCCCCAGGGCCGTCCCGACACCCAAATACTTTGTAAAATATGGGAATGTTCGTGCCCGTGCCCTGTCTCCGCGCAACTTAGCCTTTGATTATGCAGTGGAAAGAAAGAATGAACACACAAAAAAAAAGAAAAGATGTTATTGTATGTATGAAAACATATATATTGATATATTTCATATGTGAAACCTCTGCAAGAAGAAGGAGAGAGAGAGAGAGAGAGAGAGAGATAATGGTAACAGTGTGGGTATGTATATATGGCTAAGCCAAGAAAAAGGGGTCAACTTTCTCTATCTCTCTATCTCTCTCTTAATGGCCTCTTCTATAACCCAGCAATAAATATTCAGTTATCTGTACCCAAAGACACATTTATTTCTATATATAGAGAGAGATAGAGAGAAAATAATATTCATACATCGTGAGAGATAGTTTTGTAAAGAATCTGGTCAAAACGAAAAAAAAAAGGATAAACTAGTTTTAAAATAAGTTTGTAAGACATTTACTTTTTTGGCTTATAAGCACTGAGAAACATGTCATAAATTGATTTATAAGTTAAAAAACTACTCCGTATGTATAAGCAATTTTGACTAGTTTATAATCGCGTACAAAAATTATATGTTGAACATGTATAAACGTTTCACAGTGCCATTGTCACGGGCTGAATATGATGAAAACGCCTTTTTGCGCCTCTTTTGACCACTTAAGTTATGCCCCGGGTCTGTCGGGAGAGAGAATTGAGAGAGGTACCCACCATTAGGCCAGAATGCAGTAAACGAAGATGGTGAAAGCTAAGGGCATTTATTATTTAGAGCTGTCTACGATATATTTATATTTAATCTTAAAATTAATATGCTCCGTACATAGTATATATGTGCTCGTATTATACGGAGTATTACGGATCGGAGTTGTATTAAATCGCCGGTTTTCTGGAATGTTCATTATCTCCCGCGTTACCAACCTAATGGATTTATATACTTCCTCCGTCCAACAATAATATTCTCGTTCACTATTTATAATACTCCTTCCGTCCCAGAAAACTTTTCTTCTTTTTTTTTCATCCATCCCAAAAAACATTTTTCATTTCTATTAAAACGTCACTTTTACCCCTTACTTTTTCATACCCCACCTATCACATCATACATTTTTACTAATAATCTATCCATCAAATCATACTTTCACCCATCACATCAAAGAACATTTTTGGAAATTCAATACCAAAATACACTCCCCTTAAATCTCTCTTCAAAATCAAAACTCTCATGTTTTCCGAGACGGAGGGAGTATCAAACTTTATTCATTTTGTTCGAACATTTTCGTTTCCCATTTGACAAAATAATATAGTCATGTCACTTCTAGTTGTGTAGATCTTTTCATGTAGCTAGCTTTTTAATATGAAACTTTTACTTTTTAATTCCATACGATTTTTCATATAAAACGATTTGAAAATAATTTCAGTCAAACATTGTAACGTGCTATGAAAAAATTATTGTTGGACGGAAGGAGTATATACCTAGGGGTGGACAGGATAGTTTGGGGTGTTCATACATCCCATACGGTACCTTTACTATTTAAAAAGTTTGGTAAAGTTTGGTTTTAAGACTAAAACCATTCGATTAAGGAAAAATTACCCAAAATAATTCCAACTTTACCCTGTCTTTCAAAAATAATCCCACCTTTCACTGTGATGCATAATAATCCCAACTTTATTGAAATTTGCCAATTTTGGGTCGCCGTTAAATTTCTAACGGAAAGTTAACGGAAATGCCCGTTTTAGACAACAAAATGAAAGTTGGGATTATTTTTGATGAATTTTTGTTTTTTAATTTTTTTTTGAAATTTTTTATTTAAATTTTTTGAATTACTTTTAACCTCCATTTCTTTTTCTTTTTTAAAGATTATTCTTACCTTAGAAAAAAATAGATAAAAAAATTAATGAAAATGCGAAAAATAACTAAAACAATACAAACTTAATCAAATAAATAATGTAATCAATAGAAATTAAACAGAAACTGGTAA